CACAAACCAGAAGCCAGACCACATCTGCATCATTAGCCACTTTAAACCCCTCCAATCCATACATGAAGCAAACTGACACCCACCATGAAGATGAGGCACGACCATGAACACGAAGCCAAACAATAGCAATGCAGCTCACCATCTCACATCCCCATGCAACTCAGACTAACCTGAGCACAACAAAGCCCCCACCCAAAGAGAACACTCCCCCAACCAATCAGAGCACAGCCAACCCCCCATCCAATCAGAGCATAGCCAACCCTCCATCCAATCAGAGCACAGCCAAGCTCCTAACCAATCAGAACACACCTCCATCCAATCAGAACACAGCCAAGCTCTCATCCAATCAGTTCATACCCCCACTGGCAGTTAAAAGGAAGAAACAGCTACGATCACATATTGCTCCTAGAAGCACAAAGCCGAAAACACCAGCCTGAAGATGACGAATGAGACTTCGTCGAAACGTCGCCAAGACACTTCCAATTTGACGCGGGAGAAAACCCGAATAACCAAAGACCTACATATATATTCTGAATATACACTAATATTCAGAATATGGGAAACAATACATTTTATGTATACAGTTGAATAAATATAAAGAAGATCTGGTGGGATAGGTCCCACAACTGGGAACATGGCAATTAAAGGATACAATTTGCTCAGAAATAGAATGGAGAGAGGAGCTTCCCTGTGTTAAAAGTGTTCACAAGTATTCAGAAATCCTAATAAAAGAGCTCTATAACATTGTAAAGTACTGTGGATTAAGATTCATAGAGCAGTGATCAAAAACAGTACTATTGTTGGTGCCTAGTATTCCCCCAACCACCACCAATGAGAAGATATAGAGGATGATTCCCCAAAACAAAATGCAGAACTTACAAAGACGTTTAAAGCTTTAGCAATAGGAGTCTAATATATTGTGCAGAAGGGGAGAAAGTGACTGCTCCCTCCAAGTGATGAGTTCATTTGTCTACTGGGTCTGCATCTGAGTGTTTACAATTCTCTTTTTCTCTTTTGTGATTGTGATTCAATCTCTCCAAGAAATGTACATTCATCATCTTTGTACCAGTTTACATATCATAGCAAAAAAGAAAAGAAACTGTTCTTATTTCCTGATAACAAACTACCTACATGGTGCTTTAAATTCCTTATTCTTTAACCATTTGGAAGTCTTTCTGCCACACCCAAATCTGAGAAGGTCTGTCATTTCACAGGAGTCCCTGCATGATACAAGGTACAAGTAGCTGTGCTCAATTCCAGGGTGAAGGCACCAAGGAAATCTGCATCATCCTCTGTAGAAGGGTTGGATATGTTGTAATGGTGTCCAGTTCATGGGGTACAGCCAGCTCCAGGCTATTCCTTGCAGTACTTTGGAATGCAAAGGTGTCCCCAGTTTTCTTTCTCCGACATGGGAGGGGGGAGAGAGGCAAGTGCACATGCAAGTCCATGTAGACTCAGGATTGGAGGGCATTCTAGCATTGCAGGGAAGCAATTCCTATTTAGGGGTAACATCCCCTAAACTCCACTGAAGATGTTACCCAGCCTGATAAAGAAATGTTCGGAAATCAACCCACAAAGTTACAGGTATAATCCAATGCTGAATTGCAAAGCAAGTGAAAATTACTTTGCCCATTCCCATTTCTGCTTGCTGTAAAGAACAGTTTCACTTTCACAGGCATAGGTATTAATTACCCCAACCTTCCCCCTGCTTGTATTTCCTGTCTGTTTCTTTACTGTTGATGATTAATCCTAAAAGGCAGAAGATATCCATTACTTCAGTACAGGTAGTCCTTGACTTATGACTGTACTGGAGCCTGCCCATCACAATCGTACGTTGTGACAGTGGGTCATCATGTGACCAGACCCAATTTTAAAGCTGTTTTTCTGTCAGCCAGAAAACAAATGCCAATGGGTGGGTTTTTGCCCAAAACAGGAAGTAAAGTTTTTAGCAAAAAATCTCATAAATCCTGCCAATGTGATTGAGAAAAGCATGCAGGAGAGTGAGAATGAGAAAGGCCTTTTGCAGGAGCAGATTTCTGCTCAGGTAAGCCTAGATTTCATTTTAACATCAGTGTGGAGACATCTATGGCCTACGACAATATTAGGCCATAGGACCTCAGCTGTTGGATTACACAGAGGCCCATAAACAGTCAGTCACTAAACTAAACATAAGGCAGGGCTGTTTATTTATTTATTTATGAGACTTATATACCGCTTTAAGTGCAAGCACTCTCTAAGCGGTGTACACCAGTAAGCAATGTATATATATATATTTACATTGCCCCCAACAATCTGGGTCCTCATTTTACCTACCTCGGAAGGATGGAAGGCTGAGTCAACCTTGAGCCGGTGAGATTTGAACCACTGACCTGCTGAACATGGACTGTATTACTCCAGACCAAAAGCAACAAGTTATTCTAGCTCCTCACCAATAAAAATCAGGATCAGGATGCCCGAAGTTCTACCTCTCTGGGAGTGGCAACTAACAACAGAGGAAGAGATAACCCAGGGAGCTCTTAATCTCATTCAGAAAGAGAAGGATTGCAGCTATACGTTTTTAATGAAGAAATTGTTGTGCCCTGACTCTCTACACTTCCAGAAAGAAGTATTCTTGACTAGTTCTTGCAAAATGTAACATAGATATTTAATTGACAACTGAAACAGACTCTTTAAATGTGCTGCCTCCCAATCCAAGAGCACAGAAAGTACCCAAGGAAATTCCCTCCCATTCGTGAATTGCAGTGGGAGGGGGAGCCCTGAAAGCAGATATTCTCTGTGCGGGTTTGCGCCCCAAAGAGCAAGAGGCACCCACTGTCACAGCTCTGGACTATGACTGTTCCAGAAGGCCTTTGAGACTGGACTGTTGTGGGACTTCTGTTGGCAGGAATGGAATTATTACGCTTCTATGATTAACTTCACTTTTAGACTGTATATTAAATTTTATTCTATTGTGTTATTTTATTGCTGAACTGGATCTTGTGGTTCCTCCTATATATTGTAACCATTTAAACCCCTCACTGGAGGGGACCACTACTGCACATTCTTAAATATATGAACAAATATAGAGAAAAGAACTGTTTTGGGGGAATCCATTGAAAATATTTTGGGGTTGGCACTTTTTATAAGTCTTACTTTTAATGGATGAGAAACTGGTTCACAATCCTCATTGATCTCCAGCAGATGCTCACAAGGAGGTCAGGATAGGCAGAAAAAAGCCTCGTTCTGCCAGCAGATCCAAATTTCCAGCATCCTCTTATTCCAACCTCTTCTCCAATGAGAGCCCATGATGGACCACAACAAACCCCAGTCCTTGCCAGCTTCTCCCCTCCTTGGCAGCTCCCAGACAACCATCAGGAGCAGCAGAGAGGACAAACCTCTCTCCTTCCCTACAATTTTCTCTCAAGGCTAAATGATTTGAGGAACATCTTCACCTCCCCTCCCCCCCCCCGACCACTTTCCCAAGCTGACAGCTCCAACATGCTGTACTTCGTTAGGCAGACTCAGATTCAACAGACTAGAACTGATGGATATGAGTATCAGAATCAGACAGTGACTTCCATATCACAGTTGCATGAGCTATGTCACCCTTGCCATTCACATCACCCACTAGCCACATCACCCACAGATCAAACCATGCTGGGGGGTCCCAACCTCTGCATCTGGCCCATAATCAGTGATGGGATTTAGTTTGGCAGAACCGGTAGCTAATTTTTTGTTGCTCAGACCCAGAACAGGCTTCTGGAAGCAGCATCCACACAGAGAACCAGTTGTTCACATATTTGAATCCCACCACTGCCCATAATGCCTTGTACACCTGGCACATAAGACCTTTTTCCTTCTTTCTCAGAAGACACATGAGGCCCAGATCCGCTTTTGACAGGCAGGGACATGTTTCCTGGTAAACTAATGCCCCAGTCCTCACCTCTTCTGCTGAAACATGTCATTAAACATTTGTGGGAGGACAGCACACACACACACCAGAGAAAGAAATATTTTGAGAAGATTAAAAGGCAGAATATTATATTTTCCCAAAGGATCTTAAAGGCAGAAAAGCAGGGCCAGTTTTTCTTAATAGCCCCCAGCAGAAAGTCAGGAAACCACCTTTTAGAAATGCAGATTTGTTAATCCCATTCAGCCCCATTCATGAGCAAATACCACCAGGCAGAAGCCCATTCAAAACAGAATATTTTGAAATCCCCTGCAGCAAAACTGACAGCTAACAATAGCAAAGTAATAGAATTAGAACCAGCAATCCCTCACCCAAAAAAACCCAACACAGAAAGTAAGCCATCAGCCACAGCCCCCGAGACGCAGGATATGACTTTAGGACATAATAGGATTAATCCATCAATACCAAAAAGGCACACTGAACCTCAGGTCAAAGTTCATGCCACAGGAACGGGAATTCCAAACACAAAAGCCCAAGAAGGTATAAAAACCCACCACTCCCAGCTACATGTGGTCAGCTGCTCCAGAGCCTCATGACTTGCGGTTCTGCTCTTCAATAAATTACAACCATCTTTCTAAAGCAGTCTCCATTTTGTTTATTCCCAGTAAGGAGTGGACCCTGATAAAGATTTTTTCATTCAACACATTAGAAGCACAGATAGCCTGAGAGGTTGAACTCTACAAAGCATTTCAGCACACTGAAAAGCCAGGAGAGTTTGTAAATATGAAATCATAGGGATTTCATTCTGATGTCAAGTACACCCCCTGTATGAGGAACCAGATCTTGAGGCTCTCTAAGCAAAACTTCCAAAAAATCTCTGTATGCTTATAGGCTGATAGTGGGAATCAGGGTCCCTCAGTTGCCAGCCCCACTCCAAGCTCAGATGAAGGGCCGCTTTCGTTCCTGGAGATGTTTCCCCCCTACACAAATTATGCTGAAATGTCTTTCTCAGAAGCCTTATATTTTTGCAAAGCATTAGCCCAGAACAGTCTATTGTGCACACAACTATGTTACATAAAATCCAACCCAGCATTTAGGATGGCAGGCTTACCTTTTTGTGGCAAAAAATAAGGTCTGAAACTAAATTGGTCCCGTATTGGTAAGCAGACAATAAAATGCTGTCCTTCGCAGGCCTCCTGTTAAAAGCACTTTCATTTTCAACAGTGCCCCTCCCTTCCTCCTTGTGTTTATTGTGTGAGTCGCTTTCCTCTGTGCTGTCTTTTTTTTTTTTTTAACAAAACAAAGGTTCATTGGAGAATAACATAAACAGAATAAAAGAGAAAAGAGAAAGAATAGAAGAGAGGAGCGTTTGCAAACGCAGCCCCCTGGATCCTTCCCTATGGATTGGATTCCAGGAGCGCACTGGCTTGGTTTCAAGATCTGCATTTTATGCCCCTACAATGCATATCACATCTAAGCAGCTTTTTCATCTTTATAGATGTACTCTGAAGTTGTACTTTGTTAACCTGACCTCTTCCGTCCATCTGCTGTTATCTTGTTTATTTGTAATTCTCACCTTCGGTCTGTGTTGTCTTGAGACAGCTCCTTCAAGAGAGGAAAAGTTTCACAGCAGTTCTGCTTAATCGGTCCTATCAAATAAGAGGGCTGTAAAAGCCTGGAAAAGATGCCTTTAAACAAAGGTTTAAACCCACTGCTTCACTTAATGTCTTCCAGTAATACTTTTCCTGATTCTTTCTCAACCTCTGGCAAATTTGTAATACCAGGAAAGGGTTTTGGGGCATGTGCAGATTCTTTTTCTCCTCTTTGCAAGAGATGGAGGAGGCCAAGGACCTGAAGACAAAACTCTTCTGAGGAGAGTCGAAGGTGCTCTAGAAAAGGGTGCCCTCCTTTTTCCCCTTCAGCTTTGTAGGAGAAATATTTGTCTAACTACTATATTCCTGTCAATTCCCTTCTGAAGCTCTTGCTGTTTGTGGGTATGTGGTACCATTGCTATCAATCTTGATATTGAACTTTGCAAACTAGCTGTGGCATTGTTTGTATTAGATCAGTGATGGTGAACCTTTTAGAGATCGAGTGCCCAAACTGCAACCCAAAACCCACTTATGTATTGTTGGGTGGGCACGACCCACTGGCTGGTCGTGGCCAGGGTGGACATGGCCACCTCGATGTTGCTCCTGAGGAGGGATGCCTGTGGGGGCTGGGCAGGGTTGGGGGAGATCTTTGGCGGGTGGGGCAGTAGGGCAGGAGGCTCGTCCTGCAGGGTGAGGTGAGGTGAGAGAGGGGGCAGGGCAGGGGTGCCATTGCCTTGAGGCAAGGCAAGGCGAGGCAGGGGCTGGTTCAGACAAAGGGTGGCTCCGGTGAGGAGGAGATGGAGGAAGAGGGTTTAAACAAGCTTAGCAACCGGAGTGGGGATCCCCCCCAAAACAAACATGGTTCGGGGTAATCTCAAAGCATGACAGAAGAGACCAAAACTTGTTGCAACCACCCAGCAGATGGGAGGGGAATAAAAACCAAACAGCCCCCCCCCCCCCAATCCTCAACAGAAATGCTCACGACAACGAAAGTCTCGGACGGGGAAGAGAGCGGGCAGGCGGGCGTCTTGTTCAGCTGATGACTTGAGGTGAAGGGGGCAGCTACACCCCCTCCCGAATGCTGCCCTCTCACGAAGGCAGGATGAAAACCCAAAAAGCAACAAGGGGAAAAAAATTAAAACAGAAGAATGTCTCGCAATGGTTTTCTTCCCCACTTCCTTCTAGCTGCAGTTTAAATATGTAAAGACCACAAAAGAAAAAACTTGGCTTTCTCTCATTTTAATTCAAAAGGCAGGAATGGGAGGATTGGGGGGGTTGTTTGTTTCAAAGGAAGGGAGAAATGCTGGCTGAGGAATTCTGGGAGTTAAAGTCCACAAGTCATAAAAGGGCCAAGTTTGAAGACCCCTGTTGTAAGCCAATGTTTGGAAACACCTCCATGACAGGCAGGTTTTGCATACACATGTGTGTTTGGGACTACGTCACCTCATTCAAGTCTGGTTCCTGCTGAACATGGGTATCCACTTAAAATTAGGGAGCTCCTAATTTTTCAGCCCTTCCAATGCGCAGCTCCCCTCCTTTATCAAACCGACAGCCAAAAGAACAGGAATTGCCTGAAGACAGAAACCGATGAAAGTTGAATCAGTTTTCAAGGCAACTTAATCAGGAAAAAGGTCCAAACATGCCCAGGTCAGTCGATTGTCTCAACAACTTAAACCAACTCTGAGTGGCTGCTCCTCCACTTCCGCTTACTGAGTCCGGGAACCCCCCCCCCCGGCTTAAAAATTTCTTGGGTGAGCCCAACACACGGCTTTTCCAATGACTGGAGGATGGCGCTTCCATCATCCAGAGCCAGACATATCCCCGGCCTGCTCGCTGGCAATGACGCTGGAAAATTGGTCCAAAAAGAGCCAGTTGGTTAGCTCTGATTCTCAAAGCTTGCAGCTTCGGACAGAGAAAGCCCCCACACAGCGGCGGAAGGACCAACACCCAGCTGGGCTGACAACAAGCCCTTGGGGCTCTGGCACCCAAACTCAATCGGCCAGTCGATCCCCCGAATCAGAGAAGCCGTCGTCTGCATCACACACTGAATCACAAGCCTGGGAAGAGAGACAGACCGACCAAAGTGAGCTGCCATCCCCCTCCCATAGCTGCCACCACTGCCCCTCCCTGCCCGGGCTCCGAGCCGGCCCACTCACTGCCAGAGCTTGCCCAGTGTCTTCCTGAGCTTGGCATTGTGCAGCTGTGGGTACTGGTCGGCCAGCTTCCTGCACACCGCCTGCACCCAGACCATGAAGGGGTTCATGGGCTGCTTGACATGTGGCTTGGCCTTCAGCACCTCGTGGCATGGGCAACAGGCTCCAGCCCTTCAGCACCTGCGAGACGTTGTCCCAGATGCAGATGGGGAAACGCTCGTCCATAGTCAGCCCTGCCTGGCTTAATCAGAGCCTGCCTGGGCCGCCAGCTCTGCCACCTCCATCGCCATTGCCACGCATGAGGCTGGGCAGCTAACTTCTCCCCGGCCCCTGGATGAGGTAGAAGGGGACAGATCCAGATCCCCTCACCCAACCCTGCTCTCTCTGGCCGGCTCCTTGGCTTACCAGAGCCTGCCTGGGCCGCTGGCTTACCAGAGCCTGCCTGGGCCGCTGCCACTGCCGCGCACAAGGCTGGGCAGACAACTTCTCCCCAGCCCCTGAAGAAGGCAAAAGGGGCCAGAACCCAATCTCCCCCTCCCAAGCATTGCTGCCGCCGCCACCATTGACCCACGAGGCTGGGCAGCTGGTGACTGAATGTTGCCTTGTTGGGGCCTGCTGAGGCCAGCAACCAGCTGTGGCAACTTCAAATTTAATCTTTATTTAAGCAAGAATTGTAACCAAATGAGACTTGAAAAAAACCTTAACATTGGAACACACTGGAAATCTTTGATGCTAAAAATGTTCGTTAACTATATATATCCATCAACCAAAGGAAATGACTCAGAATTGTTTTTCTTAGATTTGTAAATATTTTTAAAAGTTTGATGCATAGTTTCAGTCTTTGCATACATACACATTTTTAATGCATTCTCAGAATATCTTTGTAAGTTTGTTTCTTTGTGAAGGTGCTTTTTATTTTATTTTTTATGTCTTTATGTTTGTGTGTAGGACACACAGATTTATTTATTAAGGGAAGAAATAGACAACAATACCTAAGAGAACTGAAAGAATTGTAACTCAATTCTTGCTGGAGTTGAGGACATTTTTGGGATTATAGATAACTATGCTGTTTTGACTAAAGAGAGCCTAATGTTAGACAATGGAAAGAAGAAGAAAACTGATCTAGTAAAGTAGTTGGAGGGAAAGAGACATATGGATATGGATAGGAGATGGGGAAGAGAACATGTTAATGGAAGTGGGAAAGCTTCCCCTCCCTTTTCAGTTCAAACTTGTAAATTTTATGGCAGGCTGAGAGGTTGTTAATAGGGGAGAAGGGGAACATATGTTTAATAATAAAGGGAAAGGATTGACTCATGTAAAGGTGATAGAAAAGCAGCAGGCATGTGGAAAGCTAAGGAAAATGACACACAGCTGAAAGAAGGAATGTTGAATGTTTGAGAAGGAGGAGTTAGAGAATGATTTCTTTTTGGAAGCTTATGCATGTTGTGGATGGTATACACAGTGGCTGAATAGGTTGTGACATCTAGTGGTGAGACCATTTCAATGCATACAGGCTTCAGCTCTGGAAAACTTGCTTTGTCCCCTTTTGAAATGATGTATGGGAGATTGTTTGTTGCACGAAGGTTCAAGAATGTCAATGAAGAAGAGAAGAATGTTACTCAGTATTTGCATAATCTGGCACAGGTTTTATTTTCTATCTCAGTACTGGCCCAGACTGCCCTACCACCTGTCTCTGACCGATCGTTGTTCCTGGAGAGTGGGTTCGGGTAAAAGAACTGTCACCTATAAGAACCAGCCCTAAGTGGTCCCGGCCCTGTCAAGTCATCCTGAGCACCTCAACTGCAGTGAGAGTGGAAGGAATCAAGGTGTGGGTCCAGTTCTATCATCCCCTCTTCAGTAGTAAGCCCAGCAGATGGAGGGCCTGAAAGTGAAATTTCAACCTGACTCACTTATTGAACTGTTTCTATCTAACTAGGAGAAAGCTTCAATGGACTGGACTACCCTGGAAGTCGGGTTTGTGGTATCTGGACTGTGTATTGCTACATTTTAATTTTGTTGCTGTTGTTTCCCTCATGCCTTCTTTTGAAGAAGGAAGGATGGCGCAGACCATGGTCCAATACTAGCCTTAATATGTTTGATCCTCAGGATGGCTCAATGTTCCAAAACTGACTTACAAAATCAAGGGTGTGAACAATAGATCACAATTACCAAATATAAGAGACAGACTAGCAAGAGACTGGTTTATCACTCGCCTATGAGTGTAAAGGAACAAAAGGAAGTTGTGTTTATAACAAGACTACATATTCCACTTGCAAAATTGGGGATAGGGTCATTTGTTATGATCCTGTCAATACAATAAAGCCCTACCAACAACTTCAAATCTGGGCATATGGAGGGACACACAGACAATACCTCTTGGGCAAGAATGACATGAGACTTATGGATAGTGCCAGTCTGCTTTGATGCATGTAAAGCAATTGACTATAATCAAGCTAAATGGACTAAATGTGAAGCGCTGGGATGCGAGGTGGAGCACTGCAAAGTGGTATATAGGGGTATACAGGGGTAACACAATCTGGCACAATCAAGGGAAAGTTCAATGTAATTAAAGGAGTCAGTATTTCCCAATGTGACGCTGATTCCTGCAACCCAGTGTGATTCGAGATAACCAGATCAGTGGATTTCTCAACATCATTTGGACTAGCTATTGATGGAACTGGAGCAGACTCCCAGATGCAAATATGGGTTCAAGTATATCACTGTCCCAGAAACATTTTAGAGTTTTTCACTTTTTTATGATGAATTGGAAACCACAATTGAGATCCCCTCAGTAGCAAAAAAACTTTTTATTGATCTGTCCGAAAGAATTGCTTCATCTCTAAATGCAACTGTTACATGTGTGTGGGTAGTAACATGGGTGAACAATGGCCTTGGGAAGCACATGAAATAAATCTAACTGCTCTGACTAGTCAAAATATCACTTGGAAAGCCAGCCAATGTTCTAACTCTCACTGCAGTACCAAAGGAATATACATCATTGGTCACCAAGTAACAGAAAGCATTCTGTTGCACAATTAAAAAGGGAGGAATGTAGGGTTTTGTAAATGGAACTAGAAAAAAAAAAGATTTAGCCTAACTATTGCTATCTCGCATCTCTAATCAAATTTCATGCAAGCGTGGGAAACATGTACACAGATGTGATGTACTGAAGGAGGGAATAAGAAAGTGTACAGGAATGATTGATGTCTTTCTTATATTGTAATAACTCTGTTGTCTAATTTTCATTGGCTAACAAGTTTATAAAGCAACACTACTAACTTTCTAAGGTGTGGCACTTCTGAACACAACTGCTGCCAGTGTTCAGATTGTGTTCCCACCCTGGACTTAATTCGATTGAAATAAAGTGCTGTACCTTTAAGAAAACTCATGAAATCTGGCCCATAATATCATCCACCCTCCTGGTATGTAAGACCTTTTTTCTTCTTTCTCAGAGGGCATCAGGGAATAAACAGGGACATGCAAAACTAATGCCCCAGGTCTCACCTCTTCTGCTGAAGCATGTGATTAAACATGAAAAGCACAGCCAGCCTGAGGTTGAACTCTACACAGCATTTCAGCACATTGAAAAGCCAAGAGAGTTTATCAATATGAAATTATAGGGATTTCATTATTGTATCAAGCATAAACCCTGTATGAGGAGCCAGATCTTGAGGATCTCCAAGCAAAACTTCCCCCCCAAAATATGTGCTTATAGGGTTATGATGGAGATCGGGATCCCTCTATTGCCAGCCCCACTTCAAGCTCAGATGAAGGGCCTCTTTCTTTCCTGGAGATGTTTCCTTCCCACACAAACTATGCTGCAATGTCTTTCCCAAAGGCCTTATTTTTTTTGCAAAGCATTGGCTGCTCCCCAGAAGAGACTATCACACAAATACATACCACAAAATCCATCCCTCTCATATTTAAGCACCTAGGATGTAAGGCTTACTATTCTGTGATGAAAAAAGGGGACCTGAAAGTTAAATTGATTCTGAATTTGTAAACAGTCAGATAAAGTTTTATCCTTTGCAGGTCCAGATAAAAGCATTTTCGCTTTCAAAAGTGCCCCTCCCTTCCTCCTTGTATTTATTGTATGGGTCGTGTTTCCTCTGCGGTATCTTGAGGCAGCTGCTTCAAGAAAGGAAAAGTTTCACAGCAGTTCTGCTCAATCGGTCATATTAAATAACTGGGCTGTAGAAGCCTTGAAGAGATATCCTTCCTCTACAAAGGTTTAAATGAAGATACACATCCACTACTTCATTCCACACCTTTCCTGGTTCTTTTGGATTGTCCTACAGAGCAGGGGTCCCCAACCTATGGGCTGCGGCCCATTGCTGGGCCGCAGCGTCTTGGCCATCGGGCTGCGTGAATGGGTGGCAGGTGTGGACGTGCATTGGTGTGTGCTCCCCCTCCACTCGTGCTAGTGCCCATGGCCCCATTTGCACATGCACATGGGCAAGAATGGGGTCACTAGCAGATGTGCATGGCCCATTTGCACATGCTCAAACAGGGCTGCCCACATGCGCACAGCCCATTCACACATTCGTGCGGGGTTAGCGCATGCATGCATCCTTATTTGCACGACAAACACAAATTTACCAGATGGTCTCCTTCCCTCTGGGCCGCGAGCTGGGAAAGGTTTGAGACCTCTGCTATAGAGTTGTAATACTAGGAAAGGGTTTCTGGCCATGTGCAGATTCTTTTTCTCCCATTTGCAAGAGATGGAGAAGGCCAAGGAACTGGAGGGGCTACAGGGAAGATAAAACTCTTCTGAGGAAAGTCCAAGCTGCTCACACAAGTCTAAAAAATGGTCCCCTCCTTTTTTGCCCTCAGCTGTGTGGGAGAAGTATGTGCCTAACTACTATGTTTCTGTCGATTCCCTTCTAAAGCTCTTCCTCTTTGTGAGTGTGTGGTACCATTGCTATCAATCTTGCTACTGAACTTTGGAAACTAGCTTTGCTATTGCTTGCATTAGACTGTTGGTGAATATTAATTTGGGAACTTGGTGAGATTTCCTTCAGTGGGTTTGGTCCTTTTGCCAGCTTTTTGCTAATGGGTATCAATTGTTCCATTGGAGTCTGATTGATATAAGCAGCTACTGACTTTCCAACAAGCAGGTTTTCTGGCCAAAACTTTTTTACAGCTCTTATTTTAGGGGTGGCATTTTTCAAGTACTGGCCCATTTGTCTACTCTTGGGTGTTGTTGTCCACAGCTCATTGCTGCCAGCACTTAAAATTTGTCCTCCTATTTAATCCTGGGACAAGCAGGCAAAATGAAGCAGGAGGAAGCTCCCTGGATGCCAGCTTTTGTGTCAATAATAAATGCATTGAATATTGAACATTCAGTGACAAGAGTTTTTTATATATATATATATAGCTATATATTTTGCAGTGTTAGCAATGGAAGTCAGATCACCACTATGCATTAGCAATTCCTTAATATAAATACATGCCAAATAAAAATATAAACACTAAAATACTGAAGATGTTGCATTCACTGATCTTATTCTGCATTGTAATTACCCCTCCTTCATAGATAATGTAACTCTGGACAATCTTTGAATGTACGTTAAGCGAGAACTACTTGCAAGAGCTGCCTGTGCTTTTCAATATGCGCTTTAGAGTGTCCTTGCAGCTATAACCATATGCAGGGCCAGTTCAGTATGTAGGAATAGAAAGTTTAATAATATTTATTTTTTTAAAAAAGTGTCTGGCTGAAGAGAAAGTTCCAGCTGTAGAATTTGTTTCAATTCTCCAAAATTCCTGGCTTCATAATATCACATTTGAAAAAATCAACTCTGAGCATGACATTTCCAGCAATTGTAATAATTTGAACCAGAGTAATACATTATCAATAAAACATACCAGTTTTCTTCAAATATAATGTTCTATGTAAATTTTATATTTTTTCCATTGAAATTCCCATTGTTGCATATCAATTATTCTGTTCAAATTCTGCATTAGTTTAATCATAAAATATTTATTTTTTTCAGCTTTTAAATTGTATTTTACCACCCCGCAACTTATAAATGAGTCATAGCAAATGCTCCACATCTTGTGTTATAAAGTTTCCAAACTCAGTCAAGTCTCTAAGAGTTTGCCTTGGTTTTGTAATTACTCTAGAACTATGCAGCTTATTTGAAAATATTCAAATTGGTTTGATGTTCCCGACTATTTTAAAGAAAGAATTTCAAAGGATTTCTGTCTTGTTTGAAGAATCAGAATGTCCACTTCTCCTTGAAAGTTCAGTTTGCTTATCCCTTTTATTTTATAAACCTCCATCAAATAGAAAAAGAATGGTCCCTGAAATAATTTACATTTTGGATTTCCACATACTCCTGACAACCTACAAACACTGAATTCTTACTCCTAAACTTCACTAGTTTCTTTGATCCTTTGCTCATTTGGCTTTCTGTTTTAAAATCTCCTCTCAGTAGCCATGGCATAAATGTCCTAAATGTTTCATTGTTGGCAGACTAGGGAGGGAGAGAGAGAGGGAAAGAGGGAGAGGGGGAGAGAAGGAGAGGGAGAAAGGGAGGGAGGGAGAGAGAGGGAGAGAGAGAGGGAGGGAGGGAGAGAGAGGAGGGAAGGAGGGAGGGAGAGAGAGAGAGAGAGATCTGTTAACAATCTATTATTGTATTTAATTCATAAAAATCTACAACAGCTTCATACATGCCACTAATCACTACAATCATTATCTCTGATCCATCTGGGATCAAATATCTTCGTTTGCTTCTTAATAATAAAATTTTCCTTTAAGATTTTCTTTGGAAGCTTTGCCAACAATATCTAATCTTCCAATATCCTAAACCTCTGCTGTAAATATTGAAGAAACCTCACTGTGAAATTTATTTTAATCTCCCACCAAAAAATAAGTCCCCAGTAATTCTCTATCAGGGCTGTGCAGGGACCCACCTGACCATCTCTGAGGGCAGACCCAGACCTCCAAATATAATCTAATCTATCTCAGATAATTCCAGGTTTTATTTGGTTTCATTCTTTCTACATTTTATCTAATTCAAAAAACTTGATTTCCATTGTCTTTTGGAGGATTTCCTATCTCTTTAAAAACTATCCATTTAGGAGGGAAATTCTTTTTTTTATATTATTTTTGGTGAGAGGCAGACTTCGGCCTCTCATCAGTTATCTCACCATTAACTGTAATATACTATCATGCCTTCTTCTGTTTTATTTTAATTTTTTAAATTTTTAAATCTGGTCTCTGATTGTAATAAAGGTTTGATTCAGCACACACTTTTTCATGTAAAGCTCTGGATCAGACTATGTTTCATCAAGGGTTTTGGTTTCAGACAAGATGAATGAGAGATTTTCACTTTGTCTTGGCTCAATTAAAACCTCTTCCGGGTTTCCCAAATCTGCTCAGCATTTGGGGTTTGTAAGGGCCTGAAGCAAAGTCTGGCTATGAGAAGACTTGGATTCCACATCCAGGGCTGTCCGGGCAGGAAGATGAACAGAACATGCCAAGCACTGAAGATACTAACTGTGATATTTGATAAAGACACAGGAGAACCTTTGAAGCAGAAGTAGAATTTATTTGAACTGATAGCTTAGCAATCGAAGGTGGATGCACATTGAAAGGCTTGATGGAGCTCCAAAATAGTTTTGCAGAGGAGGGTTTTTTGGAAGGTTTTTTTGGGATGTTGAGATTGGCCTGTGGAAGTGGAACAGTATGTCACAAGAAGGCAAGAGGAAGATGGGCGTGGTAAGTTTGATGGAGATGGGGTGGAGAATTAGTGGAGAAGCAGAGGAGGAGAGAAATGGAGAGTTGGAAAAGCAGAAGATCAGAAAGGGACAGTTGGAAGTGGAGACAGGGGAGAAAATTTATGATATTGTGGCTCCCCTGGGCTACCTTCTTCAGCTGAATCTGAAGGTTTTAACCATCCCAGCAGTTAATTATTATATCTTAGATTTTGACTTGTAAGAAAGGTTTGAATATCTCAATGTCTCTTTCTCAAGAAAAACAAGAAAAAGTTTAATAACAGGTAAAAAGCTTACATGGAATGAGTGAATAAATTCTCATTAACAAGGAAAATATAAGTTGAAGATACCAGAAGCGAAATATTTTACTTCATTTGATTTAGATTAAAATGCCTCTATAATCAACAAAACCTAAGAAATCAGATGAGCAATATACAAATCAAACAGAAAAGAAGAAACTGATGTATTGTCGTAGCTTCTTTAACTTATTCCTAAGTATTTTGGGTCTTCACGTAGCAGCTTCTTCTTCTTGGCACTAATGCAGTTACCATGCAAATATACTTTATGCAGGGTCTGGTTTGTCCCCAAAACTCCTGCAATGTCTCTCCCAAAGGAGTTTTTCAATAGCCCTCCTTGAATCTTACAGACTAGTCAGAAACATTACAAACAGATATTAAAAATCAATTATGAACAGAGATATTGAAGAACCTGAAATGAATATTATTATTTGTCGATAACAGTATGGCCTCTCCCTGGTTATGTTTACAAAAGAGAAACCATCAAGAGATAATTACTTTCAAACTGAAAACTCTGCTCGCCTACATTAATCTCTCCCCATGTAATCTGAATGGTTCAGCCCATTCAAACCAATAGTTTTTATCTGTGTGGTTGCCAAGAGTTGATATGAACTTTATGGCAGGTAATCAAGGAATGTTATCACCCCCCTGCTCAAAGGAGCTTTGTAGAAAATATTGTTATGATTTATTGTTCACATTTCCATAAACTTGTCAGAAGGTTGCAAAAGGGGATCACACTAGCACTGATGATGTTACCTAGTTTGGGTAATGAAATATCTGCAAGAAAACAAGCAAGTTCAGAGAGCACTCAGGACTCTCATATCAACCCTGAGCTAGAAATATTTTCTTTTAGCGGTGATCGCATGACCCTGGGACAGTGCAAACTCATAAATACATAACAATTGTCAAGCATTCAAAATTTGATCCTGTGTCCATGGGGATGCTCCAACAGTTGTAAGTATGTGGTCATACTTTCAATGCCGTTATAACTTTAAATGGTCACTAACTGAATGGTTGTAAGTCAAGGACTACCTGTACAGTGCCTGAAAGAAAGATCTTCACATGTTCACTTGAAATATATTAAGTTCCAACTCTTCTTCACCATATTCTGAATGGAAGTAAACATACAGTAGGTCAATCAAACAAGGACAGCATCTATAATAGAGGCACAGCCATTGGCAGGTGCAAGGAACCAGAGCGACTCCATGAGCTGATCAGAAAATTTCACTGGACGGTCTGCATTCTCTGGGAACAGCCAGATTCGGGCTTCAGAAATTCTAAAAGTAGTCAGATTAGCGCCACTTCCTGCTTTGCAAGGATTCAAAGCTTGCCATTCTCTTCACACAGCTATGTGGTCCATTTCATTCTATTTTCCATTCTGTATAATGTTTGTCCATTCAACCTATAATGAAAAAAATGTATGTTAATCTCTGAACAAAAGTCCCTAATAATGTCCTAATCAGGGCTGTGCTGAGACCTGCCTAATAATCTCTAAGGGCCGACCTAGACCTCCAAATATAATCCGATTCATCCTAGATAATTTCAGGGGTAATTTGTTTTCACTCATTCCAGGTTGTTTTGTCTGATTAGAGAAAGTTTGTTTTCCAGCCTCTTTGGTAAGATTTGCTATGACTACAGTTTAACTGGGGGGAAAGTAATTTTTTAAATCTTTGATATGCCAGTATTTCTCAAACTGATCTTCATGTTTTCTTCTCCCCCAAGAATCAGGTAACCAGCTTTCTCCTATTTTCATTTCATTTTAGAATCTGAGCAATGCCCCTCCCCCTATTTAACTTATCCAGCCCAATTCTCCCTGCCCACTTAGTAGCCAAGAGCTCTCTTCACGATTTCATTGGGGGCTAATAATTGCAAAGGCTGCACTGGGTGGGATAGCCACTGGTGGATTTATCTAAAAGCTAATTTTGAGTTAAAATGTTTACCTGGAAAACTTCAAGGAATAGTTGATTTAAGGAATTCTAATATACTTTTAAGAGAAATATACTTTATAGTGCTTAAGTTGTTTAATTTCAAATGTCTTCTCAATTGATTTTTACATTCTGGACTTATTCTTTGGTTATTATTTATCTGAAGTCTTCCAGCAATACATACTAGCTTGTGTAAGAATCTGACAAAATGAAACTAATTCTATAGTGCCACCTCTTGATCCTATAAGATAAGACCATGTGACTTGAGAAAGAAATCCATTCCTCCCTTCAATACCTTGATGCACAGGTCCCCAACTTGTGGGCCACAGCCAGTGGTGGGATTCAGCTGGTTCGCACCAGTTCGGTAGAACCAGTAGCTAATTTTTTGTTGACTTCGGCGAATCGGCTGATTCCCTAACCCTTTTTCACAAGGCCCAGAACAGACCTCCAAAAGTGTGTGAACACCACTTCTGGAAGTCCGTTCTGAGCCGGGGAGGCCTCCTAAGCCCAGAAGGGTCCAATGGAAGTATGTGGATGCCACTTCCGGAAGTCTGTTCTGAGCCAGGGAGGCTTCCCAGGCCCAGAATGACCCAACGGAAGTGCATGGACACCACTTCCAGAAGTTCATTCTGAGCCGGGGAGGCCTCCCAGGCCCAGAACAGCCCACTGGAAGTGCATAGACACCACTTCCAAAAGCCCATTCTGGGGCTCGGAGGCCCAGGCCCAGAATGGACTTCCAGAAGTGGCATCCACACAAAGAACTAGTTGTTCAGATATTTGAATCCCATCACTGGCTGCAGCCAATTATTGGGCTGTGGCCTATTCACAACTGGGCCGTGCAAGTGGGGCTAGTGCAGCACGCACATGCACGTGCACACATAGCCTATTCGTGCAAATGGTGGGTGCTTGCAGTCCCACTGCATGAGCAATGAGCACACATGCATGCATGCACACATGCTGCTCCTCCCACAAACCATCCCCTCTTCCCTTCCTCAATTAGTATACACTAAGTTAATTTTATTATTCTAGAAAAAGAAATTAAAAAATATAATAATGTTTTTTTAATATTAATCACATGCAAAGCAATCAGGGGATAGAGAACTATCAAAATCACATTATTTCAAATGAATATCCAATGGGAAAAATCAAGAGTTAACACAGATTTAAAGTTTGTTTTGGTCTGTTACTTAAGACTTATTTGCATAGAGAAAGATTGCATCAGAGATAATAGATATCACATCCCCAAAAGCTTAAATAGCTACACTGTTTCACAAGTAAAACTAATCTCAGGCAGCATTTCTAAGAACTTCTCACCTCTTATTTATTTAGAGAATTTTAAAATATAATATACAATAAGTATGAAAAAGGTATCCTTGTCACAATGGTCAAAATACTAGTTTCAGGGCCTAACTTGTTTTCCTCCTTTCCATTTAAAGCCTGTTGATCTCAATGGGTAGATCCTAAGGGGTTGACTAAGAACATGCAGGGGGTTGCCATGTAGTAGGCAGAGTTTGTCTGGGAGGCTGGAAATTACAGTCTGTTTGAATAGCTACTTCTTGTAAAAAGTTAGTAAGGGACTCTGCCAGTTCGCTCAGGAGGAAATACTCCCCTGAGGCTAAGGAATGCCCTGCAAGAGAAGTTGAGGCATCCTTTTCCAGAATAGATCTGGATTAGGACCCTTCCTACACTTTGGGAAAGGCCTCTGCAGAGCCTCTTAGGGGAAGAACACCTGTGGAAACCTGATTATAGATGAAAGAGCAAGTAAATCTTATACTAATCATATTAAAATACAGTAGAAGACAACGTGGGTATTGGAGGGAGAGAGATGGTGGTGAAGGAAGCAAATGACAAAATATGCATCATAATGTCACTTGCAAATAAGTAAGAGGCATGAAACACATTTCAACATTTTGATATCTCAGCTTACTGTGGATGCCCCAAAAGTCAACATGTTTGACACTTTGGATTCCCCTTCACATGGCCCCCAAATGACTCTTAACCATTTCTAAAGGGCATATTTTCATGACATGCTTAACCCCCAGTCCACTGCACAGACAAGCCTACATTCATCTTTTGGTGTTGTAATTTCAAAGTAATATTTTTCTTCCACTCCTGAAGCCTTGTCATAGGGATAATCTGCTATATCGCACAAGTGAACTTGGTGAAGCTGCTTCCTACGTCCTACTGGCCTCTTGAGATTGCCTGGTTGCCTCCTTTTGTCCCAAATAAAAGGTCATAGGTTCTGCAAAGTGACCCAAAGTGCAGTGAAAAGAAACACTTCATATGCTCCTTGCAACCCTTCCATTATGTCTGAGCATTTATTATGCTGCTTTTGAACATGCATCAATAAGCTCCCTTCTACTCCAACATTTGCCCCACTGATTTGTCATTTGGATTATTTGGAATATAGATTTGCTGTCATTACAAAAGAGTACAAGTTCAATGTTCAGAAAATGCCTGAGTAATAGGCCAGAAGGACCCAAGAACAGAAAAGATGCTATTAATGTGACAATTTTGCCAATGATCTGAAGTTTTAATTATTATCACAGTAGTTTAAGTATTAGGGCTTTTATTTCTACTTACAACAAAGTTTTAAAGATCTCAATGCTACTTTCTCAATGACAAAAAGAAAGAGGTTCCTAACAAGTTTCTGTTAAACAAGCAGAGTAAATAAATTAACATTAACAAGAAAACTATAGTTCAAAAGACCAGGTGTAAAATATTAAACTTAATTTGATTTAAATTAAAATCGTCTATAGTAAAAAATAAAAAAAAGTTCTAAGACTTGTGACTCCTTCCTCTGGAACATCATCACCCTAAGATCAGGCTTGCCCCAACTCTGCTGGTGGGTTCTGGGGTTCTAATAGCATAAATGATCCTTTCTTGTGGTTATATAGACTGCAGGAGGCTGTGAGGGTTCTCAGCTGCTATTTTGTTATTTATGTCTATAATTTTTGTTCTTTTTATTTTATTTTATTCTAATTGTCAATTGCCTGAAGTCATAGTAAACGAGATGGATGACCGTATGCTGTTACTCTATTAAATAAATAATTATCCAAGATATAATTACTTGATTCAATTATTTTAATGTCAAGTTAAGCTTCTGTGTTCATGATTTTGCCCAGTGTGGTGGATTCCCAGATGAATTGTTTGATAATCATCACACTGGTATTCAAGTCATGCCCAAAAGTAACACTCTTGGTCTGATATCACTGATTTTTAAATGAAATGTCCAAATTTTGAAGCTGGGCATGTATACCTTTCATTATACCACTGAAGCAGTGTGCTACATCTCATCCCTGTATTGAAAAGTAAAGCTGATTTCTGTCTGAGGGGAGAAAGTGATCATTAGCTAGCAGGTGTGAAAATATTTGACCATTCATATTTAGGGTTATATAATATGGCTCATAGACAAGTTATGACTAATTGGGAAGTGATTCAGAATAATATGGTCTAGAGTTGATAGCGAAGCAATACTGAACAGCCTCAAATGAGCGAATGCTATGTTATGGTTCCATGACACACAGTTGATTGAGCTGAGTCTTCATTGCATTTACAAATTTGTCTTTTATGTTGCAGAAATACATAATTAAACTCTATTCCAAAATTTCCCCTGCAGATCAATTTTCTTGGTTTGATAATGAATGTTACCTGACAATAAGAAAATTGAAGACAGCTGTAACGTTACCTCAGATGCATTGTTCTTTAGCTAAGGAAGATAAGTTGCTAACTCTTAAAAAAAATATTAGAAACTCATTACATTAAAAAAAAAGTATGCTACTTTAATATGATCAAAAATTGACCAAATGTGGCTATGTTTTGGCACTCTCTGGCTGGAATCCTGAAACAACAGAAATTTGTGTTTGATTTACCAATCTCAGGTGAGGATTGGGAAAATTATTATCACTTGTTCAGTTTCTCAAAACATGTCATGAAATAGTTACTTAATATTGATTTACTCATATTCAGAAGGTATATTTATTTATTTATTTATTTGTTTATTTATGAGACTTATATACCGCTTTAAGTGCAAGCACTCTCTAAGCGGTGTACCCCAGTAAGCAATGTATATATATATTTACATTGCCCCCCAATAATCTGGGTCCTCATTTTACCTACCCCGGAAGGATGGAAGGCTGAGTCAACCTTGAGCCGGTGAGATTTGAACCGCTGACCTGCTGAACACGGTCAGCTAAAGTGGCCTGCAGTACTGCACTCTAACTGCTGCGCCACCTCGGCTCATTGGCCAACAGTTTTAGAAAATGAGACTAAATCTATTATGAAAGGTCAGAGCAGCAATAAAGCCGCTATGAGGACTTTTTTCTACCCAAGTGGTTTAAAATATTGATTTTTTAATTTCCTCTCCCTGGATACATTTCAAGAAGATGTTTATGTACATCAGATGGAGAAGAAAACACTGTTTGCTTTTACCTATCTATTCTACATTCCAGTTGTCTAAGGCCCTCACTCAGTATTT